AAAAAAATTATATATATGTATATATATTTTTTTGTTAATTTTCACTTGCGGTTTTCTATGCTCCCCTGCCCAGAAAGCATTGACCTCTGGGGTGGGAGTTAAGAGTGGATCCATTTAATACTTCGAAAGGAACACAAAGGGTTGTGGTACTTAAAGGAAAGCAGGCAAGAGACACAAAAGGTTTCCCTCTTTTCGGTTCAGGTGGCAGCGGATGGAGAAGCGCCGCGGGAAACGGCCCCCGGGACGTGCAACGGCCCTTCGTCCGGGGCGAGGCGGGGTCCTGGTGCTACACGTCCCCATGGTGTCTGTTTAAAGTTTGCTCTACAGTTGCAAGGAATTTCATTTAAATATACCCTAGAGATGAAAAAAAAACCCACAAAAAAGATGTTTTTTTCTCCTTTTTTTTAATAAAACCCAGGAAAGTTCTTCACCATTATGGGGAGGATTCAAATATCTAACTATTTAATGATCATCATAAAAAGAGTGATTATAATAAAGAGAGATGCTGAAAAACTCACTGTCCTGTGGAGGACTGTAACAACAGGAGCAAAAATGCCCCCAGGCCACGCTCGCTGTGGGTGGAGGAGCTGCCGGCCAAATGGGAGCCAGGTTTTACCCCACTAAAGCCCAGTCTGGCACGGAGGCACGGCGCCCGTATTTCCCAGGTTCGGCAGCGCCGCCAGAGCGAGGAGGTAAAGCAAATAACATTTAACAACCGAGCGATCTTTTTAGCTCCATTATTAACGTGATAGGCGCTTATTTCTTCTCCCCATTTAAAAAGCAGCCGAGATCCCTGGCCCTGGCTTCAATTACGCAGAGATTGAATCAAAACAGACTGCTGTGTCGTAAATACGAGGGGGGCCCCTCTCTGTAAATCGTAAAATTGAATTCGAAAATTTCATGTTAAGAGCCTTGTCTTTGCATAATGGATTGCACTACCATCTATCACGGTGACACTTACAAGTCGCGGCTGAAAAAGTACTTTATTAGAATTTTTTTTTTTTAAACAATTTTGATTTATTCTGGTTGCGCTGTCTGTATAATAGACTGAGCAGAATCTCATGCCGATCCCTACGCTCAATAAAGCAACTACAGATATATTACAGAAATCCCTCACCGTTTCTAAGTTACAGCCAAATGGTGTCTCAGGGACTGCTCCCAATCATCTGTGTCTTCTAAACCTGAATCAAGCGTGGGGGCTCTTAACGACCTTCGTCTCATCGGCTCCCGCCTGGTGGTGGTTAGAGCTGTTGGCCCGTTTTCATCGCGGCTCTGATCAATAGCTGTGATGACAAAGATATGACGAGCTGCATGATTCCCTCCGGTCACTGCTACTTAATGATATTTCCAAGTTCCAATCTTCAGTTGAAAGGGAAAAGAATAAAATAAAATAAAGAGCTTGGTGGAAACAAACATCGTGGCATTTCTCGCGATGCCAAATCAGTCTTGCTCCTCTCCCCTCGGGCTGAGCACGAGGACGTTCCTCAGCTGCAGAGCCCTCATGGCACTGGCTCATGCCTGGATGGCACAGCACATTGGTCCCATCACCATTGTTCCTTCAACCGGAGCATGTTTTGGTGCCAGCACCAGCTACCGAGGGCTTGAGCTGTTGGTCCTTACCAGCTCCTTACCAACCTCCCAGCTCACACTGGGAGCTGCAGCCCCTGCTCCAGGCTGTTGGACTTTCTCCTCTGAGCTGTGGGCCTTGACCACGATCCTTTCCACCACCCTTTGGACTGGAGACAAGCCCAGGAGTTCAAAGTAATTTAAGCTACGTCTTTGCATTTTGGAGGGAAACTCCTTTTGGTGAAGGAACGAGTCTTCTTTTTGGGAGTCAAGAAAATGGTGACTTCTCAAAGTCAAGCCACGGAAGCACATGAGGCCACAGTGACATTTTCCCTTGGAGATGGTCTGGCACACACCCGGTCCTTGGAAGAGCACCTAGAGCAATGGGGCATCGGGGTTAGTGCCGTGGGATTTGCACCCAGGACCTCTCAGAAGCAGGGGTCCGCTACCCCGCTGCCCACGAGCGAAGCAAGAAGGGGCAGGCAGCCGCGGCATGGCCCCGTGGGGAGGCAAATGGAGCAACGCAGAGGCTGGGACGGGGTACGGGGTTGGGGCTTGCGGATAGCAGAGCGCAGTCCCTTGAGGAGGGCACGGCTCTTTGTGTTCACAGCCCGTTCCTGCACCTTCCCCAGGAGCGCACTTGAGATCCTGTAGAAAAAGCATTTTTCACTAAGGAAGGGGGAAATTCAGGGCTTTGAGACTGAAAATGTTTTTTTCTAGTTTTGCCATCTAAGTGGAAGGGCGAAGCTTTCACAGAGGCTGAGGATTCAGGAACATAGCAGCTGTCTTTGGACAGATTTGTCCCCAACACTAGACAGCCATCCCTTCTAATTTTTTTGGTTAAATGCTTTGATAAACAGAAGGGCAACACCTACATATATATACTTTTACATATATTTTTTTTTTTTCCCCTTCTTCTTTGACATAATATCCGTAGTTCCCACACTGGGTGCAGGTCCAGGAGAAGACGCCCACAGACCCAGCGGGCAGACGGGTGCAGTCGCATCCCTCCTCTGCTTGGGAACACTGAAAAATGCAAGCCGAGCTGCTTTCGCCACGGCCCGGAGCGGGATGGCTCCCGGGTCAGGGCACGCTGCATGTGCGCTGCGGGACGGTAGGACTCTTGAAAAACGGGTGAACTCCTCGAAGTCATTAGCTCGTGTAATAACCTGAAGAGTCTGTGTAAGGCTGTTGAGGTGCCATCTCAGTTCCAGTAGGAGTATTTCACACTTGAATCCCTTTCCTTGGCTGCATGGAAAGCCAGCCCGTTTACTCTTGCGCTACTCCTCTTAGTGTTGCAACACATGGACGGGGATGACTCTAGAAGCACCGCTTCTCTTCAGAGCCGCTCGGAGGGGAGCAGCGTAAGTGGGACGCACATCGAGCTCTCTCTGCACTGCTGGTCTTTGCTGGGGGTTTATGTCTTTTGACCCAGACTCCCGCGGTCTTTTTTGTTCCATGTGCGCTGTTTCAGATACTCAAAGCCATCGCAAGGTTGAGATGCTGAGAGGGATTTGTCGCTGGTGTGACTTGGGGAGGGGAAAGCAGGGAGCTCGGTAGCCTTGGGAAGAGGGTGCTGCCTCCTTTGAGAAGGTGGCAACTGCTGGTTTGGCTAATGCTGTCCCTAATCCCCACCAGCACATCCTCAGGGCAGCCGAGGCTTGCCAGGAGTTTGATTCCAGCGACGCAGCGGCCGTGCCACAGCCTTTTAACCATCCCTTGCCAAAGCCTAGAGCTGGTGCGGCCAACGTGTCTCCTTCCAGCCGGCTCTGCCGGAGCTGGATGCCCTTGCTGGTCCGGCTGCCTGCGGTTCATTCCTGCCAAAGCAATTGAGGTCGCGTGCTGCAAGGGGTGGTTCAAAGTACAGCGCTGGGTTACAGCACCAGCAACGTCACCCTTGCTGCAAGCAGGAGGGACCACCAGAAAACCAGGACCACCAGAAAACTGGGACCATACCAGTGGGTGGCCCCAGCGTGGGTCAGCCCTGGGGTTCTGCAGCCACCAAAACTCTGGCCATGCAGCCAAAGGGATTAGGGGTTAGAAATTGGAGGAGGAACAGTCTGTCGGGGGAATTTCCATCCCATCACCTTCCTCCTGGCAAGCACCCAGGAACAGACAGGAAAGGCAGCCGGAGCTGGCAGCCGGCATCTACGGGGAAACCACGATAGCACTGGGGCTGCCAATGCTCTGCTGCTCCGTGAGCGCGTGCCCAACATACGCCCCTGCTTTGTCGGGGGGCTGGAGCCTGCAGAGCAGTATCAGGCGGTGCTGGAGGGTGTCAGTGGTGGTGGCATGGGCGCAGGAGGGCTGGCTCTGGGGACACGGGTGCATTGTAGGGCTCCGAGCAAGAAAACTTGGCGTGGATTTGCACATCTCGGGTTCTCTCTCTGCAGAACAAGGAAGCAAAAACCCAAGTGGATGGAATAAAAAAAAAAAATATCAGGACTGAGATGTTTTCAGAGAGACGCAGTGAGAGCTCCTCGAGTCAGGATACGTGCAGCGTGATCGGGACGGCTGCGTGGGACCGGCGGTGGCCATCGCCAGCCAGAGCTCCAGCGGGAGGTGGGTAACGCCTCTCCCTGCAGGAATGGCCCTTGCTACCACAGGGCTGTTTCAGGCAGGGAAAAGGGTGCTAAGCTCATCTCCTTGATCCCTTGAATTTCAAGGACTCTTGCAAATACCAGAGCGCAGAGGTTACGTGAATACAAATTACATTAGCATGCCGAGTAACTTTGTCAGCAGTTTCTTATTAGAGCACTTGGTCCCCTCCGTAGTGGGCACTGCCATTTAACCTCCCCCTTCCCCACTGCTAACAGTCAACTGGGCTCTCCGTTTAATTCCAGCTTGTGTAAGAAACAGCGAGAGGGTTGATTCCAATATTCCCCTTCTTGTCCCACCACGCACAAGCTGTTGCTACTTACTAAACATTTTAAAATCCCTGCTGCCAAAGTCCCCAGGAGACGTTTATCTGCCATAGTCATAAACGACTTGCCAGCATGCTACTCAAAACTGCGTTTCCCAGCCAATAAATACAAGCTCCAGAATCAGGAAAAGCAGGGTTTGGCTTGCGCTAATTTTCAGTGGTATGTCACTGGGATACTATAACTACTTTTAAATTCAAATCAGCTTCCTAAAAATTAACTGGTTTTATCAGATACAGCACAGTGGACTGTTAAACACGTAGCCTCGTGTACTGAAACACTATACATTTAATGAAGTTATGCCATTAGCAAATGTACAACATGGGTGCATTAAATCCACCTGTAGAACAGCTCTACGTATGAGAGAGAGGATTTATTTTAGCTTTTCTCAGTAGAGCAGGAGTCCCTTTCTTGGCTTTTGCTAGGTTTTTTAACTAAAGCCAGGATTTGCGCACACACAAAAAACCCAACAAGTATCTACTCTGATAATGAAAAAAGACCAATTTTTTTTCTTTTTTTATTCCAGTTCAGGAAGGAAGAGAATCATCTTGCAAGTTAATATAATCAGCTCCTTTGCCTCTATAATCTACTTCTGCTCAGTAGGAGCCCCCTCAAAAACACTTTATGTCCCAAGTGAAACATGAAAACTACTAGTAAGGTCTCTTTTGAGGCACATGATTTGGACGGTCGCTTTCGGAGTATCGCAATCAGCGTTGTCTTCCATCTCCTTTCCTCTCGTAAGAGCTCCCTGGCACGCCGTGGGCTCCCCGTGTTTCGGGTGGAAGGCTATCTGTCCCTGCCCCAAATCAGAAAGGGTTAGGATGACACAAGTTAGCACAGACACCCATTTCGCACTTCACACCTAAGGACGTACGTTGATGACTCCCCACTTCAAATTCCTCACAAAGGAGGGGGGGGCGGAACCCAAAAAAAGGACAAGAGACAGTAAATTTCACTGTGATCACACTACGGCAAAATATACCTTCCGTTCATTGCAAAAAACGTGTGAAGGCCAAATAAAAGAGAAAAAAAAGAAGTATGTTGCATGAGTTACAGTGCAACCGTATTATTCCTTCTCTTTCTATTTTTCTCCCCCCCGCCTCGTTCAGTTTAGAAAAAGGATTGAGTACAACACAGTCAGGTAAGTGGCCACAAAAGAGTAGCTGTCTTTGGCAAGAAGTCACCGCATCGACCCTCTCTGTCACCTTCTGCCCATCTCGCTCTGTCTCATGAAGTGGATGTTGTTGGCGCTGTCTGAGAGTTCGGGGTACTGCTCCACTGAGATCACAAAATAGCCGTCGTAGCCCTGCACCCGGCCCGTGTTTAGCAATTGTTGCTTCTCCCCTTCTGTCCACGAGCGAATACCCTCCTCCCCATCCCGCAGTCTCTGCTGTTCCCGGGACCAAGCTTGGGTGACGGCGCGCTGTCGGGCCAGCTCCAGGACACGGGACTTCTCCTCGTCCAAGGTGGTCCCGTAGCGAGTGTTTAGACACAGCGCACCATGCTGGAGCTGGATGTCCGTGTAACGTCTAGTCCTTCCACTTAGCACTGTGTTGATCTGGGACACCGTCACATTCACGCCGTTCTCCAGGGTCCTCCGCCCGCCGCTGAGGCCCAAGATGGACAGGTCACCCTCCGATGGCCCTTGCTTAATGAAATAGTGCGTGTCCACCCCGTCGATGGTGAAGTGCAAGTTCTCCAGGTAATGGGCGTTGTTCAGGATGGCTGCGATCCTCCGCCCATCCTCGTTGGCCACACTGATAATGTCAGTGGCCACGCGCCCATCCTTCATGGCAAACTTGACGCCTTTGCCGAAGATAGAGCCGCCGGAGGCAAAGTTCTTGTTCTTCTTGACCTGCTGGCACCCGGCGATGCTGGAGCTGTAGATCTGTTCAAAGCGCTCAAGAGTGACAAAGGCTTTCAGCTGCTTCTGCACTTCACATTGGACCCCCAAAATTGACTAAGCAGGGAGAGAAAGAAGAGAAAGACATGATAGAAAGAGAAGCCCCATGACCAAAGGCATTATTAGCATGCTGGAGACCAGCAGAACATCTTGGAAACATCTCAGGAGGATATATATATTTTTTTCCCTTATCACCTTTTTTTTCAGATTTTTAATTCTTTTTAATGGAAGAGACAAGTTGTCAGGTCATTCCCCCTAATGCTCATTGTTTCAATAAACTGAACTGTTTTTACTCTTACAGACTGAAGGAGGTAGAGGTAGAAAAGCATTTTTTGCCTCAGTGGCATGAGGGTCTAGTTTGGACTCTCCCACCTGGCTGAGCACATCCAATTATTTTGTGCTTCAGTATTCTTCATCTGCACATATTCATAAAGAATGTTGTGGCCATGATGCTTTATAAAATGCTTTCAGTTTTTCTGTGAAAAAGCATGAAAGGATTTGTAAAACTTCCCTCTATTTCAACTTCACTTTGTAAGTCCTTGTGCTACCTTCAAAAGCCTGGCACCACAGGTGTGACCCTCAAAGTAGCCATAACCTCTCCGCATCCCATTTCAACCTGGCCAAAGCAGGTTGTTCAGAACTCAAGAAAGGCCCTAAATCCAACTCCTGTTTCCGGCAAACCCTCTACAATGTGCCAGGCTCCCTGAGCTAAGCCCAACCACACCTGATGCTCGAGTTTTGGCTTATACTGCTGAGGGAAATCAGCCTGGATCATTTGCAGTCAGGTGCAATACGAAGTCACTTTTCTTGTTAGCGTATAATGGAGCAAGCACACAGCGAGTCAGCAGCTCATCATTACTGCAAAATGTCTTTGGAAACGCTCTCATCAATTCATGGCAGCGCAGGTTTCTTACAGACCCCTGTCCGCGAACAATTATTTGCTCAAATCTCACAAAAGCAAGAGGATGCTACAACAAAACTCTCCTGGCACTGCCAACAGCTCAGTTCAATAATGTAACAACATCCAGGATTAAAAATAGGCTACAAAGAAAAGTTTGCTGCACTCCAATTATTTCGAGGAAATCTAACATCTATGAAGGATATTGCCTTAAACCTAAACAAGCTAAAAGCTCACATCCTTCCCTGGGTGTGGGAAGACACTTCAGACAATGCAGGCATTTCAGCATGGACCCCTCAACTAATACTTGTAACATGGTGAGGGAAGGGAAATAAACCCTCATTTCCATGGTGGCCGTTTCCAGGCAAGGGTCTCAAAAGCATCAAGGACATAAAATATAGGATTTAGCATTGCAAATCACTCAGAGGTTATGAGCAGTTTTGATCTATAGAGGAGAAAACTATACAAGAATTCACAAGTTCAAAAGCACGTTTGGGGCTGTAACGCATTAGAATACCTAAGACCCAGGACTGACTTTTATTCAAAGTGCCAGGAAGGCTGGAGTCGCTCCTGCTTTTCCCCTTTTGATCAACGGCACAGTAGCTGGAGCAAGAACCAGTCACCCAGGGAAGAGAAGCTCTCTGATTCTCCCCATACTGCCTGTGGGGGACCTCGCACACAGCATAGAGAGTGATATAATGAACAGACTGATAGGGAGCCAAGCCTAGCTCCCCTGCCAACTGCACAAGTGCTCTAATTATGCAAAAAATGGACATAATTAATGTAGATGTCACCAATGATGGACATGGAGCAATTAGGTTTCTAGGCTCCATGAAACGCCATTCTAAATAAGTGTATTCTGCACAGCCTTGATTAGCTATTTCCTCTTCAGAGAGGTTTAAATGGAGAGGTATTCTTCTCAGGTGCACCTCACATGGATTGACTCTAGGTGGTCCTGCCCCACTATCCAAGCACACTGCGATGCTCTTCCAACTCACCCCAGTAACTTTTACAAGTGATAGGAAAAGGCATTTCTCACTACTCATGCTGAATCACTGTTTAGTGCAAGCTCCTTCACTCAGGGATGTAAATCACGTCTTCTGCGCTACATTGCTATGTCCTGGGGTCATTTATGTATCACCATTTAAATATACATCACCATGTTTACCAGCAGTTGAGTGCTAGGGGGTCCCTGGAATTAATTGCAGCATCTACTGATTATCGGCCTGAGGAAGGGAGCTCTGGGAGGTCAGACAAGCACTGGGCATGGGAGAATCATTCCTACCAGGAATGTCCCCCATTCTCCTTCTATTTTGCCTTCATAGGCAGTCCTTACTCTTGATAAGCTGCAGGAACTCTATCGCCTTTTCAATTCTGGCAAATTATTAGGTATTGATCCCCTGTGACTGCCTCCAAGTTAGGTTGCCCAACAAATCAGTGTGTTGAGACACCACTCTCTTGTGTTTTCTTCTGATCCCAAATGAAAACTGAGTTTTCAACAAGCTCTGAAAATCTGCTGATGCTGCAAGATAGACACTATGATATGACATAATCTACTGTGCCTTGCACAAGTAGGACATGCGGTTCATAACTGTATGTTTATACTGCTAAATGAAAGAAGGTGGGAAGGTGAGATGTTGTATTGCACCTTTTATCATCCACACTGCTTAATTTCTATTCTAACTTCTGGCTTGGTTTTGGACTCCTGCAACTGCTTTCTCCAAGACATGTTTTCCTGACTCCCCAGGTCACTGCTACGTAGCCTCAGTGTCCAGGATTGGTCTTAGACTTCTTTTACTTAGCTGTAGAGACATACTCTAAAATGAGATTAGGGAGTCTTGTGAGGACAACAGTAGTACAACAAAGTTTAAGGGTGGATGGTGTCCTTTTGTTTGCCAGTAATTCAGGACAGATGGTGGTCTGGTTGGCACACGCTGTGATACAACAAGTATCACAGCCAACATCTGTGCCATGATCCACCTTCCTCAAGCTCCATAGACCAGTACCTAGGACCTTCTGGCCTGAGGTAATTTTCAATTTTCCATTTTATGTTCAAATTCTCCATAGCTTTGAATTTCAGATGAGTAACTGACTGTTATAATAGGAAACCCTGATTTTTAAAGTTGTTTTTTGTTTTTTTTTGTTGTTGTTTGCTTGTTTGTTTGTTTTGTTTTTACAATTTATGACCCAATAACAGAATACTGGACCTTTCCTTGATCTAGTTACATACTGCCTTTGTGATATTATACCAAGTCATACAATTTCCACAGCTGCACCGTTCATCTGGATGCCATTTAGAAAGAAAATAAACAGCAACCATGCCACTACTGGCAGGAATTTGAGGTTTAAGGGATTACACATGACCTAACAGCAATGGCACTGTCAATTCCTGCCCGGGGACACCTGGTTTGTTGGTCCTGTTGGTCTGTATCCAGGGCATCTCCTCTTCTATACTGGGAAAGCATTTCTCATGTTGCATGTGCAACTGTTACTGGCACTATTCCTGGTGGCTGAAACAGGTAAAATGTCTGACCAAAGCCACAGAATTGGGAATCTCTTGACCTCCAGTCATGTGCCTCCTTAGAGACACTGTAGGTGGGAGGTTTCTGAAGTTGGGGACTTGAACTGCCTTTGTTGGCAAAGAAACTGAGCAGTTCCTGTCAACCTGTGGCTGTCCCAGCCTTCTGTGCACCCGCTTTTCACGCACACTGTAGTCAGCGTTGACTGCAGGACTGTTTCAGTTGCCCATAAGCCAATACACAGATGTGTAGTGTGAGTTGAGATGTCCTAGGGTGCCTTCAGCATCTGCACAGAGCAGTGAGAAACCAAAGAAGCTCTGAGAGGTATTTGCCCTTCTGGAGTAGCACCTGGAGGCCACTTTGCTCACCTGGTCCCTGTATGGGCAACTGAATCAAACCCCTGCTCCACACAGTCAATGGAGCCTTGAGTGTGTTCAGCTTGGTCTAAAGTTAATGCTTAGCTCTTTAAGTGAGCTCCACTGCCTGTATGGACCAGATGTTGACAGACTACAGTGGGTGCACACATCTAACACACATGGAGACACCTACATCTACATGTCTTAGTCCTGAATTCAATCCTAGCCCCTAGCAGCTGGTCAGCTGAGCTGCCCTTTGGGCTCTCTGATGAGTCACCCAAATGGGTGAAAATGTTGAACATAATTTTTGACACTGTGGGGAGTCCTGTTGGGCCACCAGTTGTTGCTCTAGAAGGGTGCAGGTAACCCATGCTGTAGACACAAGGAAGTGCAGGAAACTCTAGGGTATCTCAAATAGCACCAGCAACTGTGTTCATTGTAGATCTCTGCTGGCTATAATGGAAACTTGGATACTAAGTTCACTGTCAGAGACCTAAATTTACGTGTTTTTATCAAGAACAAAATCACATCCAAAGGGTTTTCCACTGGGGACTGGTTACAGGCCTTCAGGATTTCCCCATCTTCTGTCACATAGTGAAGTAGATCAGACACGTGCAACGTTGTAATGCTGAACATCATTGCTTAACTATTATAATAACTAAAAATATCTCTGTTGTCTTGAAAATGGGCCCAGGATGACTTTGAAATGACTTTTTGAGTGTGTTTCTTTGATAAAAGAGTGTATTTGGGAACAGCACCTTTTAAAAAGAAAAGCAAACACATCCAACAGAAAAAAACACTCCAACAAATTCAGGCAAACCAGAGTACAGCTAGCTTGTATGCTCTGCTCTGAATATAAAGGGGGTGGAGGCAAACAGATTATATGTAGTTCAAAGAGGTAGTGTATCCTTGACTTTGAAATTATTATTTCTGTTTCATCTTAGAACTCATTTTAATGAACTGGCAAGGGAAGAAAACCAGAAAATTTCCATCCAAGGCTGCAGTGACATGTGGTATTCTCTAACAAATGCTGCAGATTTTAGCAGCTGTAAACCAAGGTACTAGTAAAACCAGTTTTATGGAAGAAAGAAGGGAATTCACAGTTATTTTATTTCAATATTTGTTGCTAGATGTGACTGACAAATACTGGGTTTGTTTTTCCTCACAGTCTTTTTTAATCAGATGTCCTTAGGTGACATTTCACTTTATCTAGTAAGAACCCACTGGAGAGAAGAGAATGACCTTCATCATTTGTTCGCTGCTGTGCAGAGCTCAAGAGAATGGCACATTACAGAGATTTCTGAATAGCCTCTTGCGTTTTGCTGGCACCTCTTGAGGATTCAAAATACCATAGCCAGATACTATCATCTGTTGTTTTTAAATATCGCCTTCCAGTGTGAGACTGAAAGCTTTAATTTCCCATCAAGGATCCAAGATGTGAAATACGTGAACATGTTTCCAAGTTTCTCTATATCCTTGTGCTATTATACACAGATAGGTGTTTCTCTTAGCGCCATATGGCTTACAACGCAGAAAGCCGCTTCTTCCAAACGTTTTGGAAGTTTTGACTTCTCTGAAATATTCTTCACCGTTAACTCCTTCCTATTTACCCCCTAGTTCTCTCTTAACAAAACCGTTCTTCAGAAACCAGCCTCTTCCCTCCATTCCACCTGACCATCACCTGAAGGTGAGTCCCCATTCGGATGTCCCCCCACAAACTCCCCGCCGCTGGTGGCGCAGGAGGAGCCCGTCAACCACAGCAGCCTATTGGGCACTCACCCACCAGCACGGCATCGTGCCCGCTTAGCAACCTGCCAACCGTGAGTGCAAGTGGGGCAGCGAGGTGAGCGATTGGCTGGCAAGCCCAGCGCTGTAGGTGCCCATTGGTTAGCAACGCGCGAAACACAAGTGCTAACTCTTGGGATCGGAGGACAGGTCTCCGCCGCCCTGCCAGTGTACACAGCCGCAGGGGGATAATGAGGCTGAGCTTGTCAAGCAGATCTCCATCTGCGGGGAAATGAGAGGATTTGTCTCCTTCTCTTGCTCATCTATTTTCATAAAGCTGCACGAGCTTAATCTCTTTGAGACTTCAACTCCCTTCCCCAGATCAGATACAGTGAAAACTGGCCACTACTTTTGCAAAACATATCTGAGGGCTGCTGGACAGATGTGCAGACAGCATGATGGCCCAAGCCCAGGAGAAAGCACCTGCCATGTGAGGATGCCCTCCCTGAGTGATGAACACTGGCAGAGACAGACCCTCAAACAGATTGTCCTTGGGAGAAGCTCTGCCAGAAAACACAGCCCTACAGCTCACTCCCTGGCTGAACACCCCAGAGCTGCCCTTGCCCCCAAAATGCTGCTCCATAAGAGGTGCCAAAAGCTACTCCTCCAGCACAGCCTGTAACAGGCACTGCAGAAAACAGGACTTTTCCTGAAGGCACAGTGCTTGTGGGATGGAGAGAAGGGTAGTTAATAATATGATGTAGTTAATGATACAAGTGCTGATTCCAAAACACCCCTCCCTGCACATAGAGCTGTTCTGGCCCCAGCAATTACCTGACAGTTCAACAAGACAAAAGGGAAGGAAAAAAAAAAAGAAGAAAAAAAAGAAGAGAAATTGGATCCAGGTGCAGCAGCTCCACAATATGCCAGAGGTCACCCAGAGTCCTCTGGTGGCCAATAACACTGAACTTGTTCAACAAACAATTTAGTGACAGCCTCGCGCTCACAGGGAGGAGCGGGAGAAAGTGCTGCACGACAGAGTATTGGATTTTAAATGTCACCCCAGAGCTGCGGGGGGGTTACTGCAAGGTTTATGACACGCTGGCTGTTTCTGAGCTCGTGGATGCTCAAACTCAGAATTATCTCTCCCATCTTGAAGCCCTGCAAGGCAAGTACCAATGCTGCTTTGGAAGAAGATGCTAGGGCCCTCTGGTTATGTGCTCTGAAGAGACACGAAGCAGCCGTTTATGTGGGGTTAGCTGCTTTGCTGTTGTGCTCCTGTTATTCACTCCTCTCCGATGAAAGAACTGACTCAATCTGCTGGGCGATGGCTTTGATCAGTGAAGCCAGTGGAGTAACTCAAACTTACTTTGGTCTATCACAAGGAGGTATGTGACCCAGGAAAACCAGGGATCGTTTTTTCGGAAGATGCAGAGATGAGAAAGCTGCGATACATCACTCAGTGAATATCTCTGGATTTCAAGCAGGATGGGCATTGTCCACTGCCTTGTCCAGACTACTTTTAAATGTCAAAAAGATCTGGAGTTTCCTCCATATATTCTGGAAGAGCACAGAATAATAGAATATCTCAAGTTGGAAGGGACCCATAAGGGTTACTGTGTCCCACTCACAGTTTGACCAGTCTTATTATCTGAAAATATTTCCTGAACTTCCATTTAACATTGTTTAATTTTGTCATTTGCTATGTGAAACTTTCAAAAGTTTGTATTTTCTTCCACATGCTTCATCAATAAATAGAGACAACCAGTATGAAGGAAGGCTGGATTGTGTCTGGGAGTGTGTTGGGAAGTGGAAGGGTTGGGCATGAACAGAACTATGTGTGAAACATCATTGTTGAATACAGGGAGAGGCTTGGGAGAAAATGGATCATATGTTCAGGTATCGTATGTGAATGAATTTATTTTATGCAAATATGTGCCTACAACATGCTGGATGTGACAGAAAGGAAGGGAATCCTGCTCTGTAGCATTTGAGAGCCACTCGCTATCACAGCGTGATCCTGCAACTGTAGACTAAAATGAAAACGCCCATGTTTTGTTGCTGTCATAACACAAGGGTTTCACATTGTTCATATGAAACAACCCGCAACGGTTAAATTCCACTTTCAAGACTGTCAGTGTAGAGTGACTCATCTGGAAGCACGATGGCTGCAGGAAGCCCTCTTTTACTAAGCAGGTCCCTGCACAGTCTTCACTGCAGCTTCTTGCTTTAAAAACCTGAAGGGGACATGGAGGTTTTCTTTTCTTCTTATTGCTCATTCAGGCAGATTCACCTAAAATGGGTGGATGGAAGGGAGAGCTCCTTGGTTTTATTTCCAGCTCAGCTGCCTGTATGAGTAAGTGTCAGTCTTCATCTCAAGCTGTCACTGAAGTTACTTAGCTATTCAATAAGTCTCATAATGATAATGAACTAATGATAAAATATTGCTATAATAATAATAATACCACCACCAATAATAATAATTTCTATTGCAGTTCTGTGAGAGTTATTGTCTACTGCATGTAACAATTTAGAGACAATCTTTTGTGCGGTCTCTGAATGAGCCTTCCCTGTTTGCCTTCTCCTGTACAGCTTTGCCTGGGGAGACTGTCACATCAAAGAGGAAGAAAAATCCTGCGGCTATTTCTCATTACAGGAATCATCTCTATTAGCATCTTATTGTTTAATCCAAGGAAGAGAGAAACAAAAAAGGAGTCTTTGAGATCCAAAACACAACCAAGTGACTGCGGCATAGTGGTTTTCTAACGTCAACTCAGCCATGGTAGAAAAAGGCACAGTTCTTTTGGTCACCCTCTATTATAAAGTGATATGACTTAATAATATATATCTCTAGTTGAAGTTGAAGGTGGTACATTTTAGCTTGTTTTCACCATAGCTATGAGGCTGAGTACCAAGGTTGGGCTGACACATGACTATTTTATTAATCCACATTCATACCTCCGAGTGATATCTTTTGTGGTTGGGGAAACGTGACACTATTTTACCTCCTGGTTTAGTATGTGTACAAGACCTCAAGAATCTGCTGCAGGACTGTGAGATTTCAATGATTCTTAGACAAAGAGGCTAGGCAGGCAGCTAGGATGAATTCCGCTTCCTACTGTTGTCATTTCATTAGCAGAACTATTCAGAGTATCTCCTGATCTCCCCAAACAAATTGGAACCTCACAGCTCTTGCAATGTTTGAATACACAGAAATCACAGAATCACAGAATCATGGAATCTTTGGGTTGGAAGGGACCTTTCAAGGCCATCTAGTCCAACCCCCTGCCATGAGCATGGACATCTGCAACTAGAGCAGGTTGCTCAGAGCCCCATCCAACCTGACCTGGGATGTTCCCAGGGATGGGGCATCTCCCACCTCTCTGGGCAACCTGGGCCAGTGCTTCACCACCCTCATTGTCAAAGATTTCTTCATTAGATGTCTGAATCCTCTCTCTTTTAGTTTAAAATTGTTACCCCTTGTCCTATTGCTAAAAACTCTGTCCCCATCTTTCTTATCAGCCCCTTTCAGTCCTGGCAGGCTGCAATAAGGTCTCCCCGGAGCCTTCTCTTCTCCAGGCTGACCAAACCAGGAATTTAGACTAAAGAGGATTCGGACTAAACAGATGAAAGCAATCCCAGAATAAAATCAGGCTAGGTGATGAAAGAGTATCCTGAGAGTTAAATGACTTTTTCAAGGTTACACAACTGATAAGCAGTAGGGCTGGGAGTAACTCCAGGATCTTGACCCAGTACGCTAACCTTTAACAGCGCTGCCTCCATCTTTCAGCTGAATAATTCCCAACAGGAAGAGAGGGGGAAATGACTGGGCTGTAAAAGCTTTTTTCTTGCCAATTTCATCTGAATTTTGTGCCAGCATCTGCCAAAATGGCTTGTGATGCAGGCATGTTTTTAAAAGCAGGACACGGTGACTTGGGAGTGAACCCAGTCAGGTAAAACAAAAGTTAACTTTCATCTAAAACTTCTTTCTGGTGAGACCCACTGCAGTGCAGAACGGTGTCTTAGGGAAGTACTGGGTCTTCTTGTTTAAGACATTTTAAACCAGACTGAATAAGTTTCTAGAAAAAAAATCTGTAGATTTGCGGTGCAAAGGTCTCGAATTTAGCCTGCAACATGTGATAACATGGACTTTAGTGGGAGAAAGAAAGAGTAACACACCATTTCACTGAGTAACCCCCAGAAAATATCACAGGAAAAAACACCATGGCAGTAAGGAACTTAAGATGTGATTATTCAGCCAGATTTCACTACTGTACTAGGGACTGACTCTCTCTTAATCTCCCAGCGTATCTGGGAGAACATAGAATCATAGAATCCTGATAGAGGTTTTTTTAATAAAGATTGCAACTGGATAGTTTGCTGATAAGGGTGTGAGATGCAGTATGGAGTTGCATGGATCACCTTGCTGTTGTCCCATTCTTGAGTTTTCATCTGTGTGTGGATTAGCTCATAGGACGGCTCCATTGCATCCATGTCTGGCTTTGGGTAGCCAGGGATGACGTTGTGTAGCTGGAATCCGAAGGTGAGCAGCCAACTGTTGACATCTGGAAGGGAAGAGAAGCATAAATCAGATGATTATTTGATCTCTCAAGCAGGATTGCCCAGGAGAAGGCACAGAGGAGGACCCTGTGGTTCCTGGCACTGTAGCAGTCTGGCTAAAATGATGTGTCTACTTCATATGAAGAGTACAAATCTTAACGGTCCTTGAAAGAACAATGTGCCAAAGCTGGGCTTTCCACCTCCAACCACAGTCCATTTCTGCACTTTCCCAGCTCTGAAACAGAAGCGTTGGCAGTGACCAAATGGCTCACATCAAAGCCAACT